ACAGTGGTGAATGCAGAGTGCGCGTGGAACGCCACGACGGGTGCGTGTGGGTGGAGAGAGGGCACCTGTGAGGGTATGTACGTGGACAGCAACGAATGCCTCGGGGATGACAGGTGCAACTGGGTGTACGACAATGAGAAGTGCATGAATCCGATTGGCTACAGCGCTGTCTACAACGGCATTTTCGCTGCCGCGATGATTGTTGGCGCATTGTTTGGAGCTGTCTCCGCAGGGCATTTTATTGCAAAGTTTGGCCACAAGGTGTCGTTCCTGGTCAGTGGCATAGTTAGCGTTGTGTCGTCTGTGATGTACCATGTGGCCTCGGATACGAATGAATTCTGGGTGCTGTGCATTGGCCGTCTTCTGATCGGCGTTGTGCTTGGCCTGGTGTGTGTTGCCTGTCCGATGTATGTTGACCAGAACGCGCACCCGAAGCTGTTGAAGGTGGACGGTGTTATGTTCCAGGTGTTCATCACGTTCGGTATTATGTTCGCTGCATTGATGGGTCTTGCTCTTGGCTACAGCGTGAACTTTGACAAGGACGCGAAGATGGATGGTCGCATGCAGGGCTTGTGCGCCTTCTCAACGCTGCTGTCGGTGATCATGATCCTGCTTGGCATTGTCCTTGGCGAGAGCAAGACGAATTTCGTGGGTGGCAAGCAGGAGGGAGAGAGCGCTGCGCTTGATACGAACGAGTACAGCTACGCACAGATGTTTGGCCGCCTGGTGATGGGTGTAGTGACTGCCGGAACGCTGCAGCTGACTGGCATCAACGCCGTGATGAACTACGCCCCGACGATCATGAGAAGATTGGGGATGGAGGCTCTTGTGGGTAACGCCGTGGTTATGGTGTGGAATTTTGTGACAACTCTGGTGGCGATCCCACTCGCCTCGTTCTTCACGATGCGGCAGCTGTTCCTCGCCTGCTCGCTCGTTGCTTCCGTTGCGTGCTTGTTCCTATGCGGCGTCCCTGTGTACCCCGGTGTCGCCGAGACGAACGTGAAGAATGGCGTTGCGATCACTGGCATCGCCGTCTTCATTGCCGCGTTCGAGTTTGGTGTTGGGCCGTGCTTCTTTGTGCTCGCGCAGGATCTGTTCCCGCGCTCTTTCCGTCCGAAGGGTGCGTCCTTTGTGGTCATGGCGAATTTCATCTTCAACATCATTATCAACGTGTGCTACCCAATCGCAACGGAAGGAATCTCTGGCGGCCCGTCCGGCAATCAGGACAAGGGACAGTCGGTTGCCTTCATCTTCTTCGGCTGCATCGGCCTTGTCTGCTTTGTGCTGGAGCTGTTCTTCCTGTACCCTTGGGAGGAGAGCGAGCCGCCGGTTGGCGAAGATGAGGCCTCGTTGGAGGTTGACCAGCACTCACCCATCGAGGTTGCGACACCTGATAACCGTCAGACTGCGTGACCGTGCTGAGTGACGCCGCCCGGATCCGTGTGACTCACGCCGTGCTTTGCAAAACGGGAGATCCAACCGCTTGGCTGTTCGCGGCCTCTGGACGGCGATGCCTCCCCCTCATTGGTATCGCCGAATGACCCCTGGAAGCAGCATGTGAGGCAGCACAGGTAAGTATCACGGGTTCTTTTGGTACATTTTTCCAAAACGAAATGCAATTTCGCATGCAAAACGTTTTTTAATTTATTTTCCCTCCCACGACTCCCTCTCCTGTTGTTCCCACTTCTTGGCCTTAATTGGCTTTCTGACGGCTTTATTTTGAAGGATAAATAGTACGCATAGAAGGACGCAGTGGACGAAAGCCACTGCAAAAAGTAATGGTGAAAAGGAAATAGCTCGAAAAAAGTGTACTGTGTCGAATGTTTTATGTGTTTTTGTGTTTAACCGCAAATGTCGTCTAGAGAGCAGTCTGATACTGAATCCACAGCGCGATCAGGGCAGGAATACAGCTTCAAGCGCTGACGCCTCCGCCAGGATAGACAACTGCTATGTCTGTCTTTTAATATTGTCAGCGTGCACTTCTGTGACGTTGAAGTCTGCAAGTCTGAGGTGAGATTCTGTCGACATCTTTCTTGTAGAACAAGGTAAGGAGCTGAGTTGCTTTTCCCCTTTGAGAAACGAAAAAAATGCATAGTTGACGTAAAGGTTGGCATATCATGGTATCATGTCAACGCTGCCATTTTGTGTCAAAGCTAGATGTCTGGATGCCTACCGTGGAGCCCACTGAAAGAGGCTTCGCTACATTCTGTTTTGTTCATTTCTTTCTTTTTTTCGCCCGATTCGGTGCCCCCATTCTCTATTGCCTCGCCTTTTTGTTGTGCTTCCCTCATTACATTCAGAATACACCAGCAAAGACAGCTGAATTACACAAACAACCGAGATGGATACAGCTCCCAATGAATACCCCACTGAGGAGCAGCCTCGCAACGACGCCCCCGCGACTACAGGTAAGGCCCCGCCGTTCATGTCGATGGAGAACCTGAAGGTTGCGCAGGTGCAGGTGGTGGGTGGGACGCTGACCGGGTACGCGATCGCGTTCGTGGCAGTGTACGCGAACTTCTACCTGACGTCGACCGACTGCTCGCTGTACAACACACCGGTTGCGTG